ACGGGGATCGACTTCAGCTAATAAGGCGATGGACTTCAGCGCACTACGGAGCGCGACTTCAGCGTACTACGGGGAGCGACTTCAGCGTACTACGGCGATGGACTTCAGCGTACTACGGAGATGGAATGGAAGCGACTTCAGCGTAATACGGTGGGCGACATCAGTGTAATACGGAGATGGAATGGAAGCAACTTCAGCGTACTACGGGGATCGACTTCAGCGTACTACGGGGATCGACTTCAGCTTACTACAGGGATCGACTTCAGCGCACAACGGGGAGCGTCTTCAGCGTACTACGGGGAACGACTTCAGCGTACTACGGGGATCGACTTCAGGGTACTACGGGGAGCGTCTTCAGCGTACTACGGGGAACGACTTCAGCGTACTACGGGGATCGACTTCAGGGTACTACGGGGATCGACTTCAGCTAATACGGCGATGGACTTCAGCGCACTACGGAGCGCGACTTCAGCGTACTACGGGGAGCGACTTCAGCGTACTACGGCGATGGACTTCAGCGTACTACGGAGATGGAATGGAAGCGACTTCAGCGTAATACGGTGGGCGACATCAGCGTACTACGGAGATGGAATGGAATCAACTTCAGCGTACTACGGGGATCGACTTCAGCGTACTACGGGGATCGACTTCAGCTTAGTACGGGGATCGACTTCAGCGCACAACGGGGAGCGTCTTCAGCGTACTACGGGGAACGACTTCAGCGTACTACGGGGATCGACTTCAGGGTACTACGGGGAGCGTCTTCAGCGTACTACGGCGATGTACTTCAGCGTACTACGGAGATGGAATGGAAGCGACTTCAGAATACTACGGGGAGCGACTTCTGCGTACTACGGAGATGGGCTTCAGCGTACTACGGGGAGCGACTTCAGCGTACTACGGAGATGGAATGGAAGCGACTTCAGCGTACTACGGAGATGGACTTCAGCGTACTACTGGGAGCGACTACAGCGTACTACGGAGATGGAATGGAAGCGACTTCAGAATACTACGGGGAGCGACTTCTGCGTACTACGGAGATGGAATGGAAGCGACTTCAGCGTACTACGGAGATGGACTTCAGCGTACTACGGGGAGCGACTACAGCGTACTACGGAGATGAATTTCAGCCTATTACGGAGATGGGCCTCAGTGTAATACGGAGAGTGACTTTAGCGTATCACTGAAATGGATTTCAGAGCACTATGGAGAAATAATCCAGAGTATTAAGAAAGCGACTTCAACCTACTACATCGGAAAAAGAATCAAAAAGTATATATTTAATAATAGAGTCTCTTTTATTCATCTATGTATTTTTCATCACAAAAATAAATTTAAAAAAAGCTTTATTAAGATCTTTTGAACGTATACAGATTCTCCGAGTGGAAGAGGGTGTATACAGAGATAACAGTAATAGTAACAAAAATTAACTATTTATAATGTATCAAAAATTGGGAAAAGAAAGTAAGGGCTTGGCATAAAACTATTCGCAAGCAAGCGAGAACAAACAGTTTATTTTCTTAAAAAATAATAATAATTAGTAGAGTATTGACAGAAATTTAGATTAATACGAGTGGAAATATAATCATAAGGCACCTTTAAAGTTCTGTACATGAAAGGATCAAGGGTAGAGGGTTGTCTAAAGTCGTAATATACAGTTTTAGTGGTCAATAAATTTGTTCAGTAGAAGCCACCAGATTCATTTAGTAATAGAGCTCTGAAGAAGCGGTCTTGTAGATTAAATTTGCGAAACCACTGGGAGTGTTCACCACTGATGAGCCAAGCCCTCTCAATATTTTTTCATCGCAGTAAATACAGTATGAGTGAGATATTTTTCTGTGAAAAGAAACATTCGCGTCTTAATGTTTTCATTTATTATATATAGATGGCGCGTTATTGTTTTGTATTAATTTATGCTTAAATGGCCTTGTCTTTATTGTTTGCGGAAGAGCATTGTTATATTCAAATATATAAATGTAATTCTACTCTCCAAAATGTTTATGCAAATAGTTTGCCTAAATACCATTTTTAAGATTCCACCTTTCAGTGTTGCATATAAAAGCAGAATCAACCAGTACAGTATTAGAGCTCTGAGGAAGCGATCTGGTAGATAAAATTAGCAAAACCGCTGGAAGTGTTCACCACTGAGGAGCCAAGACCTTCCAATATATATATATTTTTATCGCAGTAAGGACAGTAGAAGTGTGATTTATTTGTGAAAAGAAACATTTTTGTATTAATGTTTTCATTTGTTATATAGAAAAAAATATTCCACTACCGAACACCCCAACCACCCAAAATTCTGGAATTTTGTCAACTTGTATTGTTAACTGAACTGCCAAGTCGAAAAATCTCATACATCTTTGTGTAGTCTGGAAGAATATCAAAATTGAAAACGAAAATTTAAATTAAATATAGAAATTCAAATTAGTCCATTGTCATCCTTTCCGACCACCCAGAAATATGACATTTTTAAAAATTGAAATCTCAACAGGTTTGAACAAGTGTATAAAATTTTAAGCTTCTAGGTGCTTTGTAAGTACAAGTACTTTAAAATTCGATTGCAATATTCATAGTGAAAATAGAAATTATCCAATTTCCGACCACCACGATCACCCAGAAGGCTGAAACTTTGTCTACTGGCATTGTCCTCAAGTTTTAACAAGGGTAACAAATTTCAGACCTCTAGAGGTATCCAGTATATCTATTAAAAATCTATTTAAAGATTTGTATTAAAACAGACACAACGATACGCAGACAGATAAGTAAGTTAAATGAAAGGTTTTTGATAGATAGCGGCCTCGTAATTGCATCATTGTTGGCTGCTTGCGAATGAATTATATGGTGAAAGTTGTCTCAGAAAATGCTAAAGGCACAAATAGGACTTAAAGGTAGTACATATGCTCCATGATAAGCAATATTCACACTTATAATTAACCTTGCAAAATTGTATTACTCGATATTTATGTTGCCTTTATTAAAATGCTTTTTCATCATTTTTATTTTGAGGAAATGAAATTACCAGTATACCTATAGTATTATAAAACTATTTTAGTGGCGTATTATTCTTTTTAAAATAAAACAATTTCTACTGTCCTTAAATCTACCATTAAACTGGCGAAACCGCTGGGAGGGTTCACCACTGATGAGCCAGGCCCTCCCTTTAATTTTTTCATCGCAGTAAGGACAGTAGAAATTGTTTTATTTTAAAAAGAATAATACGCCACTAAAATAGTTTTATAATTTGATAACAGATGGCGCTCTAGTACATCATACCTATAGTATAGTAACTTAGTTATTTTCTGTAAATATGTAGTGTTATGTATAGAGAATTAAAACATTTAGACGCGAATTTTTCTTTCATACATATATCAAACTGCTTTTAAATGCCCTGTCTATAGCGACCACCCTAGACAACCCTGTTATCAGCTGTGTTATACATCCACCTGTCTATACAGACCACCCTGTCTATAGCGGTCACTTTAGGCAACCCTGTTATCAGCAGTGTGATACATACACCTGTCTATACAGACCACCCTGTCTATAGCGACCACTCTACAGCTGTGTGATACATCCACCTGTCTATACAGACCACCCTGTCTATAGCGGCCACTCTAGACAACCCTGTTATCAGCTGTGTGATACATCCACCTGTCTATACAGACCGCCCTGTCTATAGCGGTCACTTTAGGCAACCCTGTTATCAGCTGCCTGTCTATACAGACCACCCTGTCTATAGCGGTCACTCTAGGCAACCCTGTTATCATCAGTGTGTTACATACACCTGTCTATACAGACCACCCTGTCTATAGCGGTCACCTTAGGCAACCCTGTTATCAGCAGTGTGATACATACACCTGTCTATACAGACCACCCTGTCTATAGCGACCACTCTAGACAACCCTGTTATCAGCTGTGTGATACATCCACCTGTCTATACAGACCACCCTGTCAATAGCGACCACCCAAGACAACGTTTTTAAAATATATTCGCACTCGGGTAAACCCCGGGCGTTGCCCGGGCCTTTCGTCTAGTATACAGGGTGTACCAGGTAAATTGGGAATTTCAACAATGGTATTTTAACTGAAATTTTTTGCAAGTAAAAATTAAAATATCCGAATGAAATTTGACACAGTAGTAGATAAAAGGATATAGTTTTTATTTATTCAATGTAGTTTCCATTATTAGCTACAACAGTCTCGAGGCGAGTGCGGAATGAAGCACAGGCCTTGGCGACGATGACCTTGTCCATTTGGGTCATCACCGTGTGAACTGCTTTCTTGACAGACTGGATGGTGGTATGAGGAGCTTTGTTGACATCTCTCTCAACAACGCCCCATACATAGTAGTCGAGGGGATTGCAATCTGGAGAATTAGGGGGCCAAATATCAGGACCCCAGTGACTAGGGACGTTAAGTGTCAGCCACGATTGTGTCTTTTTTGCCTTATGGGCTGGAGCTGAGTCCTGTTGGAAGACATACTTCCTTCCTGCGGCCACCATGTCCATCCAAGGCTTCACAACGGTCTCCAGAACATTGATGTAGGTGTCAGCGTTCATCCTAAGGCCCTTCTCAAAGAAATGGGGAGGCATGACATCACCTTCACTGCTGATAACGCCAAGGACCATTACGGAGGCAGGAAATTTCGTGTGCATCACGACAGGTATCTCTGAGGGGTCTTTACAGATCCACCGATCATTCCTGGGATTTACCTTTTGGTCCACGTCAAAGTTCTTTTCGTCAGAGAAGAACCTTAGCATGCCAAAAGAGTCGTGTTTCAGGTTGTTGAGGAGGGCAGCAGCCTTTCCTTTTCTGTTATTCTTCATATTCTCAGTCAGCAACTGACCTTTCCGAAGGGCATAAGACTTGAGACCAAGGTCCTCATGGATAGTTCTGATAATTGTCATAGAGCCAACGTCCATTTCCTTGGCTATGACCCTCATGCTCTTCCCAGGATTTCCATCAATCTTCTCCTTGACATTTTTGACAAATTCTTCGCCTCTTACCCTGTCCGATCGACGCGAGTGCTTTTTCCTTGTAGCTATCCCCTCTTTGTTACTGTCGGCCTCATCAAACTGCTTCTTGACACGATAAATAGTGGTTTTGGGCAACTTAAGAAAATCCACTATCTCTTTGGGGCTCCTTCCGGCGCGCAGAGCAACGATGATGGCAGCTCGATTTTCAAATTCTCGGTTACTCTTCATCACTACACTGCGCACACATGTACTGTTGCATTTTACATGAATATGGCTACGTAATGAAAAAATAAACAAGTTTTTAATCTCAAGTAGTTTTGTTTTATGGACTGTCAAAGTTAGTCCCAATTTACCTGGTACACCCTGTATATATATTGGGAGGGCTTGGCACATCAGTGGTGAACCCTCCCAGCAGTTTCCCCAATTTAATCTACCAGACCGCTTCTTTAGAGCTCTAATACTGGATCATTCTGCTTATATATGCTACACTGAAGGGTGGAATCTCAGAAATGGTATTCAAGCAAACAATGGACATAAGCTTTTAGAGAACAGTAGAAATACAGATAATATTTGCATCGAGCAATGATCTTCTCAAACAATAAGGATAAGGTCAATTATTCATCGCAGTAAAGACAGTAATAGTTTGATATATGTGTAAAAGAAACATTCAGGTCTAAATGTTTTATATTTGCAATATATCGATGGCGCGTTATTGCTTTATATTAATATAGTGTTATGTATATATGTTTATTTTCTCTGTGAAGCGAAGTAGGATGATAGGTAAATATAAATCAAACTAGAATATATTATAAAATATATTTTAAAGAGGGAAAATATACGTACTTAGCGGTTCTGGTATCACACGAGATATTGACATTGGGACTTGAGGCCGAGGTCGGCGATTGTATTTGCCATTGTCTTCAGCCAGATTGTCGCACGTTCCGGATTTCCGGTCAACAAAACGTCGATTCTTGGGAGATAGCAAATCTTTTTGCAGACGGCTATACCTGGCCGCCTAGGTTAGGACAGAGTTCGGCAATCTTTCAAGTCGGAAGAGTCAAAAATTTCAATTTACAAAATATCAATTTATTTTAAAAAGCCACAAAATGTTTTTATTACAAACAATAAATAGTATATTCTCGCATGAATAAGTATTCACGTATAGAAATATATAAAGAGCCGCAGCTTCACATCCAAAGAGCCGTATGTGGCTCGCGAGTCGCAGTTTGCCGACCCCTGGGTTAGGATTCTGGTGGGTTGGGGCAATGGTTCTTGCATACGAAATGGTCAAATAACACCTGAAGCTGACGTAGTAACGCAATATACTGATGTCATGGGTTTGTGTGTCTATGTATATGTCACTATAGGATTTCTGGAAAAGTAATGAAGTTCTAGGCATAGCAATACACGTACAAAGCCTTAGTCCACGTCACATGCAATTAATATCGAACTGGTAGAGAGAGAGAGAGAGTTCGCATAAGAATAATTTAATTCAAGCAATTCGAACGTTCCTAATCCTTCATAGAATTTCCCCAATTAACATCCTAAAGTCTCGCTTCCATGTTACTTTGATAGTGATGTCTCTTTTCAATTCCAAGCTTTATGCTTACTTAATACGATCTATAGATTAAACGGGTCCTTTCATATAACTAATGTTTTCCTATATACTTTTGATAGCAAACGTATATCCTCCTGAATTTTCATGACCTGAGAGAGAGAGAGAGAGCTAGAGTTACCGCGGCTGCTGGCACTAGACTTGCCCTCCAATAGATCCTCGTTAAAAGGTTTAGAGTGTACTCATTCCAATTACGGAGCCTCGTTAGAGTCCCGTATTGTTATTTTTCGTCACTACCTCCCCGTGCCGGGAGTGGGTAATTTGCGCGCCTGCTGCCTTCCTTGGATGTGGTAGCCGTTTCTCAGGCTCCCTCTCCGGAATCGAACCCTGATTCCCCGTTACCCGTAACAACCATGGTAGGCGCATAACCTACCATCGAAAGTTGATAAGGCAGACACTTGAAAGATGCGTCGCCAGTGCTAGGACTGTGCGATCCGCCATAGTTATTCAGAGTCACCACGACTATCGGAGTTGCCCCCGTTTGGTCTTGGTCTAATAAAAGCACCCTCACCCTAAAAGGGACGAGGGCTCAATTGCATGTATTAGCTCTAGAATTACCACAGTTATCCAAGTAAATGTGTACGATCTAAGGAACCATAACTGATTTAATGAGCCTTCGCGGTTTCGCCTTGCTAGGGCGTGTACTTAGACATGCATGGCTTAATCTTTGAGACAAGCATATGACTACTGGCAGGATCAACCAGGTATCCTTCGCCAGTCCCCGCCGCGAGACGCCCTCGGGCAGCCTCGCCGGGACCACGCTTAGGGACGCAGCGCCCGCCTCTCCGTGGCGGCCACCGCACCCTTGACCCCCTCCGCCGGAAAGCCCGACACCCACTGGTCCGGGCACTTTCCACGCATCCGTCCAGACGCGAGTTCGCACAACCCAGTGCGAGAGAGAGAGAGAGAGAGAGATTGAGATTGAAACTGATTTATTATAACGTCCATATAAGATTATATAAGATTAAATACAGATTAAATAAAAATATGAATAAATAAGATTATATAATGAAAAATACAAGAATAAATAGATATAAATATATAAAGCAATTGATAAATATACATATATATAAAATATATACAAGGTCTTCATTGGTGGCGCCCACCGCGAGAAAGACTCCGCCACCGATGGACTGCGAAAGTTCTTTCCCACAGGGTGGGCAGGTCGATGTGTTGGCTGGCATTACCCAACTCAAGACCAAGATGGTACTTGTAGATGGTAGCCTTCGCCACACTTGTTAGCTTCACTGCCTCGGGATGGAGGCCGACGCCGAAGAGCCAGGCCTGCAGATCCAGGGGCAAGTCGCAGGAAGCGAACACCTCCCGGAGCAGGGTTCGCACGGCTCGGCAACTCCAATATCTGTGGGCCAGCGACCCGTCGCTGGACCCACAGGCGGCACAGTTGGCACGCCTCGAGGCAGGATGGTCAGGATGTGGTAGGGCATGGAGGGCCAGCCGTAGGGCGACATCTGCGTCGTGCCCCGAGAAGCAGTTCCGACGCAGGTCGGCCCAGGGGATGGAGCGGGGCACATCCACGGTGGGGGTCCACCGGGCAGCCAGCTCTGCAGTAGGATGGGCCTGGAGCCGTGCCGAGTCCAATGCCCGGCGCGCCCTCTGGCTGGGTAGGCGGGTGATGGGGGTCGCCGATCCCCGCAGGACGATGGTCTCCGCCTCGTACTCCGCATGATAGCTGGAGCTGGCGTTTTCCCGCAGGAGACGTTGGCAGAAGGCCCCCAGGTGCTGCGCATCTAGGAGCGCGGCCCGCGTTGAGCGCGCAAGTGCAGGGGCGCCATCGGAGAAGTCCCCGACAGTCGCCTGTAGCCAGCGCTCGGGAGCCAGCAAGTCTGGCGGCCGCAGGAACCTGTTGTCACCTCGAAGACGCAGGGACCTCAGGCAGGCGGGATGAAGAACCCGGTGGTCAAGCTCGAGGACGCTGGACGCGGCCTCCCACAGGCTCAGTAGTCTCCTCCTCCTAGGCGAGTGCCAGACGTCAGGAGCCGGCGGTGTCAGCCACGCCCGGCTGCGGACCAGCCAAGAGTAGCCGTTGGCGGCGCCGCGAAGAGAGGCCTGGACCCCCTTCAGGCAGGCGAGCCGAAGCTGGCCCGCGATGTCAAGCAGGCCGACGCCACCATCGGAGACTGGACGAGCCAGAATGCGTCCGGGGAGCCACGAGACTCGGCTCGTACCCCACACGAAGCGCGCCAACCGCGCCTGCAGCCGGCCGATGGTGGTTTCAGGTGGAAGGTAGCCATGGAGGTGGTGCAGGATGGAACCCAGGACCAGGCTGTTGGCCGCGCGAGCACGACCCACCAGCGACAGTCCGCGGGTGAAGGGCGACCACCTCGCGATGGCTCGCTCCAGCAGCCCCATCAGGTGTGAGGCCTGGGAGGCGACGGTGTTCCTGGTGGTGATGGTGCAGCCTAAGACGGTCAGCGACTCGGACGTCCAGGAGATTCCCAGAGGAGAATCCGTCCGGTGCTTCCAGGAACCGCACCAGAGCCCGCAGCTCTTCTTGAAGTTGACAGCCACCCCGGAGGACATGCGGAACTCTTCAAAGATAAGGGGCACGAGCTCAAACTGAGCGTCGTCCCTGATGAAGAGTACGATGTCGTCCGCATAGGCGACCACGTTGCCGCGGCCCAAGGTCCTCTCGAGGCGGCGTAGCAAAGGTCCAACTCCGATGCTGAAGAGCGCGGCGCTGAGACGGCAGCCCTGCCTCACCCCGTTGAGAAGCGGGAAGGCCTTGGTGTAGACATCTCCGACCCGGATGGAGGCGTCTGCTTCCCCGTAGAGGACAGCAATCCACCCTAGGAAGGTAGATGGTAGGCCCAGCTTCTCCAGCAGGGCGAACAGGTAGCTCCTGCTCAGGGTGTCGAAGGCCGACTTCAGGTCCAAAGAGATGACAGCCAGCGGCGTGTCATATCTGGATGCCCCGGCGGCTTCGTCAGACACTCGCGCGATATTCCAGGAAGATGACCGTCCTGGAACGGCGTAGGTCTGACATTGGGGCACCAGGTCTGGTAGATGACGTCGCAGACGAGCCATGAGCACGCCGCTGAGGACCCTGTAGTCGGTCGTTGGCAGGCTGATTGGCCGGAATGCCTGTAGACCCGGACCACCGTGCACTTTCGGCAGCAAGAACACCTTGCTGCGCCTTGAGGATGGAGGTAAGGCCCCGCGGAGCCGAGAAGCCTCGAAGACTTGCCAAAGAACTTTGGCGAAGAAATCTTCAAAGGCTTTGACAAACTCGCAGGGTAGTCCGTCCCATCCCGAGGCACGTCCGTTTGGCAGGCGGTGGATGACTGCCGCTATCTGGTCGCGGGAGATGTCCTCAAGAAATAGCTGGTCCCACTCGTCGAACTCCAGGGGAGTCACTTCAGCTAGGAAGTCGGCGATGGCTTCTTCCGAGCTTGGAGCCTGAGCGAAGCGACTGCTTAAGCGCTCCAGAAGGAAACGCCTAAGCTGGCCCCCGGAGATGGCGTTGCCGTCGTCGTCGGTGAAGGTGGAGGGAGAGCGGCGTCTGGCTCGGAGGGAACGCCCGAGGTCCGACAAGGAAGGATAGTCGGAGCGGGCAGTGTCGTCCTCCAGTCTCCGCCTCAGGAAGAGGCTTGCTCTCTCGATGTATCCACCGCCGGACTCGGCGACGGCAGGCGCGAGTGACCGTATCTCCGCGACAAGATTTGCCTTGATCCTGGTCCATTTTTCCCATAACATCGGAGGTGAAAGATTTGCTAGGTCTACCGATATTTCATCGATGAACGTTTCCATTCGATCGACAAAGAGGTCTGACCGTAGCAGCTTTCCGATGCAGGGAAGTCTTGTAGGAGCTGGGTCTCCTACTTGGATCAGAACGGCACGGTGGTCTTAGTAGGCATAGTCAACAGTTTGGTATTGGGTGACGCGGTCGCAGAAGCCTGATGGAAGTAGGATTCTATCCAGACGACGCGCGTCGACCCGGCTTCCGATGGTGGCAACCCTGGTGTGCTCCAGTGCAGCATCGAAGAAGGTGGCGACGTCGACGAGGTCGGCTTGGTCCAGGAGCTCCGCGAGGGATTCTGCTGAACCTGATGCCAGGTCCTTCGCCGATTCCTCGGAGATGTTCAGGTCACCGAAGATCCACGCACCTTCTTCACGCGCCAAAGCTGCGATGATCTGGAGCTGGCGGCAGCGCTCTTCAGGAGCATGAGAGACGTGGGCGTTGACACACGTCACGGAAATTCCCCGGACGGTGAGGTCGATGACAGCCATCTTGCCAGGCCATAGGATCTGCTGCCGATGAACAACGACGCCGGCCGCGAAGACGCAGGCGAGGCCTGATCCCACGGTGGTCGTTGCGGGAGCAACAACGGCGCTGTAGCCTTGGCAGAGGTCTCCTACGTCGTCCAGGGACATGACGTTCGTCTCCTGCAGAAAGCAGATGTCGATCTCATGCTCCTTGAGAAAACAGCAGAGCTGAATTCTCCGGCGAAGAGCGGCGATGCCGCGCGTGTTCAGGGTTGCAACTCGGAAGTTCATTTAGGGTGTCGAGCAGAGTTTCTGGCGCGATATAGCTTTTTATACAGGGTGTTGCTAGTGCCCCCTGTCAAAGCCATAAGCGCCGTGGCCGTGGTGTCGATGACCTTTCTCTGCTGGATGTTGGAGTTGGCCAGAAGCTTGTCCATGAGGCCATTATTAGTAATGGCTTGGAGGAGTTGTTCTCTCTCAAAGCCTACCTTCTGGACGCTGGCGATGGCCTCAGAAGCTTTGGCGTTCTTCATAAGAGCGTCCATTTGTTTCTGGGCCAAATTTCGCTTATCCTGGGATAGAGGAAGCTCCTGGGTGTTATATGGTGGGCTGGAATCCACGTTAGTCCGCTCATCTTCGTCGCTGGGTGGAGGGATTGCGACGGCTGTGGCGGTGGGGGGAGGAGGGATTTCAGCTGCTGATGTTGGCGCAGCTGCTGGTGAGGCTTGGGAGGAAGAGTCAAGCGGCTTGCTCCAGGCAATTGGGCGCGTAACAGGCGTCCGCTCAGGAAAAAGCAGCTTGTCTTCCGTCATGCCAGTCTTTTGTGGACAGTTGGCCCGCTTGTGTCCTTGCCTGTGGCAGAGGGAACAGCGGATCCCGTAGCTCACGTAGACTGACGAGATCATTCCCTTGGCCTTGATTTCCAGCCGGGCAGGAATCTGGGAGAGCCTAACTCCGTCGTGCAGAGTAATGAAGGCTTCCCGACGAGTGTCAGCCCAGCAGGAATTCTCCAGCTCCATCATCTGCTGGACGATGGAAGTTACACGGCCGTAGGGCCTGAGCGCCGCGATCAGGTCAGCGTCCGTTATAAAAAACAGTACGTTGCCCAAGGCGATACGCTCAGCCTTCTTCCTCAAGGGAAAGGCTCGAAGATTGGCACTTTCAATGTCCAGGCCCTCCTCGATGAGCCTCTCGGCGAGCTTCACACTGGAGAGAGCGACTATGATGTGCCCCTCCATCTTGCTCATCTGGTAAACGCAGCCTTTTCCCAGCTTCGCCTCCAGCGCCAAGAAGTACTGCGCCTGGCTGAATTCTGGGGAGAATTCCAGGTAGACACATTGGTCTACCTGACCGGCCGCCGACTTTGCTCTGAACTCCGCCTGTTTCTGCAGAGTTTTGGTGCACCTCTGCACTCGGGGCTTGTTCGCAGAGGGGACAGCAGTTGGCCTGGTGGCTGCAGATTGGACGCGGCCTCTTTTGCTC